AAGAACAGTAGTAATGTACTACATAGTTGTAGATGTAGTCAGAAATCACTTTGGACATTTTCCTACATTTTTTACACTTATAATTAACATTTTGACAACAGCTACTGTAATTTCAAAGCTATGTATGTCGCTTTAATATATAATTTATGACCTGGATTTTTATTTTTAATTGTTGTTTATGTTGAAGTAAACAAAGAAGAATAAAAGTATAGTAAGTCAAAAGACAAAAAACCAAAGCGGCAATCATAAATCCAAATCACCAATATACTAAACTAGCAATATACCAAAGCGGCAATCATAAATCCAAATCACCAATATACTAAACTACACTGTAGCAATATACCAAAGAGGACAATCATAAATCCAAATCACCAATACTAAACTAGCAATATACCAAAGCGGCAATCATAAATCCAAATGGTGGAAGAACCATTAAGCTATACAGTAACTCTTTCATTCACACTAGTTCACCTGTTTTAATTTCTGGAAGTTTATAAGTTTTTACAGTAAGATGTACTGGAAGTCAGCGATTCTTGTGAACTTCTTCCTCAATGTTGTTAACGTTGGTCATTGTACTCTAAGCTTGGTTTATCACCAATAAAATTAATTTAATGATGTAAGTGAACAACCCTTGAGAATCATCAGTTGGATTTTGATTTCCACCCACATCAACATACGACTTGTAATGAACACACACTGACGTATGACGGACAAAAGATTTGTGATTTGTTCCCACTAGTTAGTGGCAAATTTTGTATTTGCAGTTCGATGAGATAATAAATTTATAATATAATGTTTGAAAACAGTGTTTGTTCAGATTATTGCTAAAATATTGCCAAGTTGGACTATAATATTGACCAGTTTAATCAGACTGATGCTCAAAGAAATTTCTTGTAGCTTCAAAATGATTGTCAAAAACAAAATTAGTAATGATTAATTAATCAAAGAATTTGAATTATGCAATAGCTAGTGTTTACAGCATATGCAAAACACATTGAATTTTGCTTGTGAAAATTATTGTTACATACCGTATGCTCCTCAAATACCATATGCTACCTCAATTATGAATATTATTGGAAACTTAACTTGGGATAATTCCACATCACCTGATCTGTAAACTCCAATGTGATTGGTCTTGAATTTCCTTCATATGATTGTAGAGAATTTGCAGTTAATAAATTATATATATATATATATATATATATATATTTACACATGTATATATACATGTATCATGGCCATTGACGTAAAGAAGACAGTAGGAGTAATTATGTTAATATTATTTAGGATGCAGTATTAATATGGAGAAATAAGTAGATAAATAAAAATGTTACATATATATATATATATCATAGCTTGATAAAGACTTATAGTCGAAAGTACTCGCTAACTCTGAAAATAAAATTTGTGGCATATATCTGATACCATCTGACTCGTTATTTACTATATATATATATATATATATATATATAGACCAAACATGAAACTTTTATTGTTTTAAATCAAGAACCTTTTGAATAAAATTGTCTCTAAAATAAACAACTAATACCGGTACATTTCTTATTTGTGTTCTAATCAATTCTGTAAGATAACATTACAAAATGTGCCTTAAAAACACTTTCAAAGTATAAGTACAATGAATCAATTCAGAATGTTTTCTATCATAAGTATTAAAAGATGTGTATAAGAGACAGATTTATTACAATGACTCAGGTTTTTTGCATTCATAAAAGAAGATATATTGAACATCATTTCTGCAAAATATCAATCACTAAATCTAACTGAGAAGTATAATAACAATTTAAAAATACAAATCTTATAATAAACTATTGATTTTGGAATCTTTAGAAGCTGTTTTCTCAAATCCTACAATCAATGGCTGAATATCCAATGAATTGAAAACTTTGCTAATAATCAATTTCCATCAAATAAACACTTTTTTAAAGAATACTTTACACAGAATCTAAAAATACCAAAAACTCAATTTTAAATTTTTCCTACAAACACCTGGTTTTGCCAGAGCCGGTCACATATATCATGTTATAGGTATTTTTTGTATTGTGTTTACTGTGATATGGAATGCAGGAAACTTGATTTAAATATTATTTACTATGATATCTAAGCTGTGATCAATGTTGTTCCAGCTTAAACATAGCTCCACTATGTGTAAGCATTTCTGTCAGTTATATATTCCTTATTTGAATCATGTTTCTCATCTATTAACAAATTGGTCTTCAATGATGAAACTTAAATTAAATCCTAGTAAAACTGAACTTCTTGTTATTTCTTCCAAATATCGTACTCGCCCTGTTCCTGAAATTAACATAAATTGTAATGGTATTAACATATTTCCTTCTTCTTCCGTTCGGAACTTAGGGGTCATATTTGACAAACATCTTGACTTCAGCAACCATATATCATGTGTATGCCGATCGGGTTACTTTCATCTTCGCCGTATCCATTCCATTAGACCTTACATTTCATCTTCTGCTGCTGCTTCTCTTGTTCATGCTTTTATTTCATCCAAACTTGACTTTTGCAATGCATTACTCAATGGTTTACCTGCTATTAGCATTAGACACCTTCAAAAACTTCAGAACTCTGCTGCTCGTATTGTAACATTGTCTAAAAGGTTCACCCACATTATGCCAATTTTAAACATTCTTTACTGGCTTCCAGTTGATAAGCGAATCATTTTTCAAATTTTTCTAACCCAAAAATCTATCCATAGTCGTGCCCCACTTTATCTCTGTTCGCTTATTGACAAACATGTTTCTTCCTGTTTTACTCGTTCTTCTCAATCCCTCAAACTTGTTACTCCACAAGTCAATCATATTCGTACTGGTAAATGCTCTTGTTCTTTCTCTGCTCCTAAACTCTGGAACTCTCTGCCTCCCCAATTGCGTATCATTTCTGATCCGCAATTATTCAAATCTACTCTTAAATCATTCCTCTTCAAATAGTTCAACTTCTTTCTAACATCCTCCAGCGCCGGTGACAAGCCAGTTTTGTTTGCTTTAATAGGTGCTTTAAAAATGTGTATTATTATTATTATTATAAGAGAGAAAGTGCCTTGGGGTTTGCATATATACCTAGGTCTATGTGCCTAATGTTATGATACTCGTAATAATTATAGTGAGAGGTTGTTTGAATCCCGCCAGAGATAATTTTTTTTTTTATACAAAAAATTGAACAAAGGAACTTTTCGTTGAAGGGTTTTGCTTGATATGATTATAACATCATGTTCCTATTTGATGTATTTATTTGTATTGTATTTACGGTACTGTACTAGGCAGCAAACTTAATTTGAATATTATTTACCATGACTTCCAAGCTGCAGCCAATATGAGGCAAAGAGTAAAACACTAATTTTTTTTTTTAGGAGTATGGTTAACATGGTACATGATTTAAATTACTGTTTAAAATAAATTTAAAAAAAACATTTCATGATCCATGTTTCAAACAGTTAAATTGCTAAAAGGGAGACACATTGATTACCTTGTCACTTCATACTCGTTTCAAACTACTGAAAACAAATCATCATTTGCAAGATTTCCATGTGAGATTGATGACCACTATGTTAGCACATATCATTTACTTCTCTATTTCTCATAATACCCTTGAAATTGCTTGGTGTGGATTTGTTCTTCATTTAAGATCTACTTTAAGTTCTTTCATGCTCCTGTGTTTCTAGTCTGCTGAATTCATCCTTTAGATTTCTTGCTTTACCATGTTGAAAACTGACTTGTGTCACTCTGCCTTCACATTCTACTGTGATGTAACTAACCAATCCCTGCTAAGCTTTTTGATTACTTTTAGTAAATTTGTCGGTTCAAACCGTAACTCAAAAGAAAATTGAGATTTGAACTGTTATATCAATCAGCATTAGTCTACATCTTGGTGTTTTTGAGAATTTGAACTTTCCAAATGTTGCTGGAAGCATTAAGTCATTTTAATTGTCATCACAAATTACCACTTCACTTACACTTGTTCACATGATGGAACACACTATGGTGTTCACTTGGACTTGATGGTCACATGAGCCGTGATTAATACACTAGTCGGCTGCATACTGTTTTCACTCTGGTTCTTTATGAGTACCTCATATACTTACGGTAACTGTTGGCATTACAAACCCAGTTGATATATTTCAGATTTAGCAACAGATAGAGCGTGCTTTGAAATTCACATGTAATACATCCCAGCTCACACACACCATTGGCTTGACTTCGCAAACAAAGGTTTATGAAGATGACTGTTCATGTCTACTGTATGCACATGGGTGACTCACAACCAGAAAAGGGTTTGCCGCACAGTGCAATCTGTGGAAAGCAATGATCCCCCATCCCCCAACGAAGCTGCATCTTCAACAGGATGACATTGATGACCTCCACCTAGTTGAGAACTTTAGTGGATGTTGAGGATTATGCAAAGGCAGCACTGAATGAAGCACTCGAAGGGTTATCAGTGATGTTTATAGATGACCCATGCCAAAGTCTGCAGGGGCATATAGCAAGTCATTTTGAGCCATACATAAATCTTCCATGTTCTATTTTTTTCAAAATAATAATTTGTTACATTTGGCAACATGTATTAGTTTTAGTTTTATTCTACTTTTATTGCCTTTTTTTTACTTGAACTTCAAACTTTGATATAACTAAGTATACACTACAAGATTTTCATTTCTTTGTATGTCTGAAGTTCATGTTTCTAACACTTCCACATAACTTTATTTTGATATAATTTTTTTTTCCCTATGTGAAAAGTTGATATTGTACTTTAAATGTTTAGTAGACTATCAATTAGAAAATCAATTGAATGGTTTCACATATCAGTTGTTACATGTACACTTCCTTCTAAAGGCCTATTTTACATCAGTCTAGTAACATAATTTGCATCTTTAACTTACCAATAACTTATGACCCATCTGCTTTCTTTAGTGCCTTAAGCACTACTACAGTGAATGTGTGCGCTTTATTTGTCTTATTATTAATATGAATATTATGGTTTTGTTTTGCAGACTGGCTGTTTTGCTGCCATAGCTGTTGAACTCAACTTCCGTCATGATGCCCATGCTCTATTTATCTGCACAAGCATGTTCGGTCTTTTCCTCAGCAGTATTTATCCCACTGTCATTGCTTTAGCAGAACAATACATCCACATGACAGGTAAGTAAAGCTAAACTTTCTAACAGTTCATGATTTGTTGACTCCTCTACACACATGTGAGACCTCATTTAACTGGTTAAAATGTTATTTTCTTAGTTCTAGATTTTAAATGGTCGTTATAATCATACCTGGTGTTGTGTTCGTGCTCTTAATCAATCACATGTTTCATAATTATCAATTTTTGTCCCTGTTGTTTCTTTTTCCCAGACAGTAATTAATTTTCTTCATATTTTCTATTGTATTTTCTAACTAAAACTCAGCGGTTGTTGGGGTCGCATGCATGAAAAACATGGCTTTTGCAATGTGAACAATCGGTTTTAAATTTTGATATAATAAATGATATAATAATAATAATTTCTGGATTTATATAGCACCTCACACTGTCAAAACCTCAAGGCACTTTATGAGGTGTTATTTTGATAAATAATGTAAAAACCGGTGCACACTACTACTTCCTTGACCTTTGTTACTCAAAACCCACTCCTCCATTAAAAACAAGAATAAAATGAAAAATTAAGATGTAGTAGAAGGCATGAGATGTTGAAGGATGATGTTAATTTTCTAACCACTAGGGCATTATAATCTATAACCATATCCTATTGTCAATGTCAGCTAACATATGTTACACTAAATGGATTCTGCACAATTTATCTATATTATGCAAATTCGTATTACATTGCACCATGTGTGGGTGCTCCAAGAATAAAAAAAAAAAAAATGTATCATAATTTGAATTGTATTTCAAAGATATGTAAGTAGAATTGATGAGTTTGTTGCATAATAACGAGGAAATATAAAAAAATAGATTAGATTTGTAGATAGTATTTCCGTTTGGAGATTATAGGGATATTTATCCAGATTTAAAGTGTCATTTCCCTTTCTTCCCATCAGTGTTATGTTGAGCCCAATATATAATTTAAGCATTGAATTACATATTTTTCTTTAATTGGTCATTCTCTAACATTTAGACTCAGTTTTATATCTAAATGCACAGCATGAAAACCATGTAGGAAAATTATAATTTTTCCTCATAATCATTCTTTTTACTGATATTATTTGTAAAGGTAAAGCATGGGATATTTCAAACCATTTACAGTTGATAGTGAATATTATTTGCGAAGTTTATCCATACATTACAACATTTTTATAGCGTTATTTCATGATCAGAGCGCTTTTCGCTTTTTAGTTTATCCATCCATTGCATTGTCTAGCAAATGACCTCAGACAACATACAAATCATTGACAGTTGCATTAGATGCCGGTTATGGAAAATTGTAATTCTATCTAAGACATCAGTGGTCCAGATGCCACCCGCCCTGTCTCTTATACCCATCT